AGAGAGAGAGAGAGAGAGAGAGAGAGAGAGAGAGAGAGAGAGAGAGAAAGAGAGAGAGAGAGAGAGATGAGTTTTAGGTCTCTACTAGCAGTTGATGGAGTCAATTCTGCTGGTCCCAGATATTGATTTAGGGATGGTCCCTAGAGTCAGTTCTGACCAGTGAACATTAGGTCCAAGATATTTCTTTTGGAATTTCAACTTTCTCTTTCTGCTGTGCTAACAGAGAGCGTAGGCTGTTGACTAATTTCTGCTGGCAGCCATCTTGCCACTGTGAAGCTGGTATTGAAGAATTGGGTGATTTGAGTTCCTCTATCTAGTCAGTCCTGAAGCCAGTCTTTCACTGGATTCCTCAGTTAGTTATGTCTTCCAGTAAATTCTTTTTTGTTGTTTAAGGTGATTAGCACCGAATGTTAATTGAAACCAATGAGTCTTGATAATACTGAGAACTCTCGGAGAAGAATGTCTGGGTTTGAAGCATGATTGACATTTTGATAGGTCACAGAAAGATTAATAATTCGAGGAAAATGATGCCAAGGAGTGGTCTGTATGGCGTAGGGCTGAAATGGAGCCGCTGTGGGCCAGGAGCCGTCTCATCTGATCTTAGTCCTTGGCAAGCACCTCTGTTCCCTTCTATAAGAATGTGGACAGAGAAGAGAAACTTGGTATATGTAAGCATGTGAATTATTTTTCTTTGTAGGTGAGATTTCAAAACACAGGGTTACAGGGTTACTCCCTGGCCTGCTCCTTACTTTTCGTGATTTCTTCACCCTGTCTTCATTACACACTGGGATTCTACATGAGAAAGGAAGGCCCCTTCTTTCTTCCAGCTCCAAAGATTTCAATTTGGCTCTTTCCTGTTTCTTCTATGTCACATTTGTCTTTGACAGGACGAAGCCAACCTTTTACTCCCTTAGTAAATTGCCTTTTTAATTTTTTTATTTTTATATTTTATTTATTTTTATTTTTATGTGCTCTGGTATTTTGTCTGCATGTATGTCCCATGGAAGGGTATCAAATCCCTGGAACTGGAATTATAGACAGTTGTGAACTTCCATGTGGGTACTGGGAATTGAACCTGGGTCTTCTGGAAGAGGAGCTGCTGAACCATCTCTCCTGCCACAGTATATTGCCTTTTTTTGTATAATTCTAGATGTCCTAAGACAGGTGAGATCAGGTGCATTCAGGGTGGTATGGCCGTAGACAGATGTCCTAGGGCAGGTAAGACACCTAAGGCCTACGAGAGCAGAGTGGCCTCGGGTGGGTACAGTTGTGTCTTAAGGCAGTATTGAAGCTGAGAGTGGAAAAG